GCCTCTAGCTCTTCTTGCAGTGAATTGGAAGCTGGTAATGATGCCCTGGACATGTGGAAGATGAAAGATACTTAATGTGAGTTTTTGTTAGAAGCCAGAATGAGTAATACATCACATTACTCTGTTGCTGAAAACCTGCATAGTGCTCCATTGATCCTGCATAGTTCTTAATAATTTGCACAAGCTCACTTTTCAATTCAAGTCCGTTTTGCTCTCATAAATGTAACATGGTAGTTTCTACATGTTATTAACTCAGGCTGGACTGTAGAGGATGTGAAGAACTGGCTCAGTTTCCAGGGATGTAAAGGGGAAGCTGCCCTTTTTTCAAGTAAGTTAATTCTAGCTGCAGTATTTAAGCTTACTAAGCTTAAGCTTAAGTCTCAATAAGCTTACATGCATCAGTAACTTCGCAATTCCTGAAACTGTATATTGCTAAGAATAAATAAGTAAATAAATTAAAAAGTCTTTTTGTCACAGCCTGCGAGCTCGCAAGCTAAATAAGTCAAGAAGTAATCTGTGACTATCTGTTGCTAATTTTACTTTCCCAAAGTTGTACTTGTGGAGACAATTTTTTGAACAGATATTCTGGCAGTGTTCATCACCATTTTCTCTGGATTGTTTGGGATTGTTCAGGTCAGTGGTACATTTTCTTTTCTCCAAAATTTGAGGAACTTGTTTCACAACTGGAGGAGACTTGTAAAATACCCAAGATTGGTTTTGGAAGAGGTAAATGTTACATTCATTACCATTTATTGCAGATATAAACAAAGGACAATTTTTTTTCCATCTGACACAAATAGAGATCGAAAACCACATAAGAAATGCCTCTAGCTCCCATGTTACAGAAAGTTTGATGGTCATGCAAATAATTGATCTGTTAAATACACGGCCTACAGATCAAGCAGATTCTATGATTGTGTCACATCTAATGTAAAATTCATGAACCATGCCTGAATTTCATCTTTTTTACCAAATCAAGTGCCAAATTTCAGCCAGGTTAAACACAACACACATAACCCCTTCCAGACCCTGCACACTGAATAATCCTACATAACTGTATATTTGAATATGAATCCCGATAACACAGCTGTACATTTTTATATTCAGTGTGTATCAGGTCTCATATTATCCAGTGGGCACATGGAAAGAACAGACGTCTTAAGGATGGTTAGGACTTTGAGGTATGTCAGCAATAGTAGCTATGCCTATTTGATATAAAAAATTCTTATAAATTCATAACAGTTCACAGTACAGTAGCCTTGTTGGGCTGATGACATTGTTTGAAAAATGGACCTTTTGCAATATCTACATAGTCATGTGACCCTGTCATTTTTAATATTGGAAGTTAAAAATAAATTCCATAAATAAACAACAATGTAACTGCAGGCTTTATTATGTTATCATTGTTGTTGATTTCAAATAATTGCTTTTCTCAACTGAAAACAGGCCAAAAAGAAGGCCAAAAAGCCCCACTCTGGATCTAGTGCTGATGAGTCTACATGTAATACAGCAGAGTAAGGTACATGTAATCCCTCAAGCATGATATTTTGTAAGAATTGTCTACTGAATAAATATGCATTAATCAAGTTTAAAAACAAATGGTAATTAAATGACCTGATCATTCAAGATAGGAACACTGTATTGCATGGTCCAGTAACATGCCTTTGTTTTTTCTTCCTTTTATAGGTGAACCAGATTTTGGCCCTGTTGACAAAGTAAACAGCTGCAAAGCAAGTCCGAGCCTGAATGATATCACCTCAGAAAGTGCTTGGAAAATATCAATTATCTGTAAAGATAGCAAAAGCACTTATCAGTCATGGCTACATTGAGGTCAAAAGTCCTGTGGAAGGTGGTGAGGTTAACCTCTTGAATCTTAAGAGAGAAGATATTGTGTGCAAAAAGAAAGATTAACTTAAGAGTAATGATCCAGACTGAGAGGAGCCTGATGATAATGGAGACACAGATTCAATAACCACCGACTCTTCTTTTTCAACCTATTCTGATAGTTTAGAAGTCACTTACACTTCTTAATGTAGAGACCATAAATGCCTTATTCCAGTTAAATTGACAAATGACTTGTTGTCAAAGTCCAATGTAGTGTGAAAAGCAAGGAAGATAGCCCAGTTATCTTGCTGAAGGGGAAATAAAATTGTATTTAGTTTAATTCAATGGGTAAAAGAAATCCTCCTTATAAAGGGCTTAAAGTTTGAAGCTTATACATATGCTGTACATATGCATGTAACTTATTTTTATCACTGGTTTTAAAAAAATGGTTTCTAGTAATTTTCCATTGTTGGAAACTTCATTGTTGGTACATAATAAAAAATTATTTTCACCAATGTTGGCATATTATTTTGGTTTTACCAACATCAGATTCCTCTCTACCAATATTGGCATATTATTTTACTTCTGTTCCAAAGTTGGATTCCTCTATACCAATATTGTCATATTGTTTTTGTTTTACCAACATTGCATTGCTCTACACCAATATCAGTATATTATTTTCTGTTTACCAATGTTGGATTCCTCCATACCATTATTGGTAAATTATTTTCCTTTAACCAACATTGGTGTCATCTATACCAATATTGGCATATTAGTTCTTTTTTACCAATGTTGGTTTCCTCTTTACCAATATTGGCATATTATCTTGTTTTACCAATGTTGGGTTCCTCTTTACCAATATTGGCATATTATCTTGTTTTACCAATGTTGGATTCCTCTTTACCAATATTGGTATATTTTCTTTGTTTTGCCAATGTTGGGATATATAACACTTTACCAACATTGGTATGTCATTTACTTATTCCAAAGATAAACCAAACATATGCCAATAAAAAACACACCATTTCCCAACATTGAAATCTTAAATTTTTTCCTGTGCTTATACATGAGTAAATACTGTATATCATCAGGTTGGTTGGTAAAAAGCAGATTCCTAGTTTCTTGTTGAGCTCTAACAGGCCTAATAGGTTTTTTTTTCCTTTCGGGGGGGGGGGGGGTTGGAGAATTTTCATCTTGTTTGGGTGGGTTGAAGAAATTTAAACCAGAACCAATTCTTTCTAGCAAAATAGACATGTTTTATTTTTTAATATAGTAGTGTTTAAAGCTATGAAGTTTACAAAAGTGCAAATGCTGGAGGGGTTGTCAGGAGGGCAGGAGGGATGTTGAAACTTCAAATTGATTAAAGCATTACTCAGGACTCTGAAAAGAGGGCCCAGTCAGTATAGGTTGCAGGTTCCCAAGATAGTACCATTGCAGTGGCAATTAATTCCAAAAAGTGGCAATATCTATGACAGATTGCATTAGAGAACCCTTGTTTACTATTCTGTTTTCAGTCACCATCTTGTGTAGGTCAGTGATATATGGCTGCAGCAGTTGAACACAAAATAGCATGATATAGAAGGTCATAACCATCATCTTCATCTTGCCATTTTTCCTGCATAACCAATCAGAACATGAGACTATATACATTTGTTCCATCTGTAGCAACAACACCTATCTTGCTGAGTTGAGCCAATCTTGGCTGCGCATTAGCAAGAGATGGAAAAGAAACGTGAAAGTAGAGGTCGCAATGAAGAAATTTATGTCTTTAGGTTAGTAAGTGAAAAGAAAAAATGTGTGCCACCAGGAACCCCAAGAATATGACATACTGTGGGGATTTGTGGGAAACAACTTTCAATTTAGCATAGTGTGACAAAATAAAATGTGTGGCTATTCGCTAGCTTATGGTTGCAATGCATTCCAAAAATTGAAAATATCACTGAAAATTCTTTGAATTAAATGGCTTATGTAAATGTGTGTTTTTGTTGCCTGGAAAGTATAAGTAGTCAGCCACTGTAGAGCTCTTTCCTGAGTCCCATCCATGGAAGAATAGCACTTTGTACTTCATTATCAATGGTCATCAAATAGATGTGTCAGAAATGTCCAGTGTCTGATCTAGGATTTTGATCAGGGGGGGCAATGTGTCCCAGTCATCAATTTTCAGAGGGACATAATCTACCCCTCATATAGCGTATATTCAAACTAGTGGCCAGGAACCTTGGAAAACTGGGCCTTTTACGCGCATCATATTCCCTGGATTTTGGTTCTTGCTTTACTTTTAATCTTCTGAAATGTGATCCAAAATATTGTTTAAGAAGATTTTGTATGAGGTGAAATTACATTTCCTTGTTTTTTTTTTTTAATTTGAAACACAATTTAAATGATGCAGAACAGGTAGTTGAAGAGGACATATTTGCTCAAACTGTAGCAATCCCACAATGGCACGTTCTAGATCAGACTGAATGTCATCTAAAAGAAATACCACAACCACAAACACCATTAAACCAGGATCTTATCTCTATTTGCTGCAAGATTTGTTCCTGGAAACAAAAGTTCTCATTTCAGAAACAGGCCCCTTTTAACTGCCAAATTTTGCAAGTAGACTACTTAAACAATGATCTTAAATATATGAGAAATAAAGGCATCCTGAAAGGTCATGTTAGCCTCCAGTACTGCCTTAAGTGGTCTCAACAACACTTTAATGGACTGTGAACTCACATTTTGTTTTGTATTTTTCCAGCATAATGTTTTCAAGATGTCAAAGCCACAAAAGGTAGTATGAGAATTCTAAATCTATTAAAAATACTGGCCTTTTATTTTGACAAAAACTTTCATTCAATCCCTTGTTTTTTCACCTAAATGTCTTCAATGAAACTACATGTAACAATTTCAAAGTGAGTTGAAAAGGAAGACACTTCAGGGATAATTTTCATTTTCCTTTTAACTGTAATGGTTGGTATCAGCGACAGTGACAGTGTAGATCTCCAAAGCAACTTAATATTTTCCTGGTTTAAATTTGTCTTAATCTACATGTATCTGACTTTTTGGCATAGGATGAAACTCAACTGCAAGTTTACAAAAGAACTGATGTTACATATTGAGTGGACATCCATTATTGTGATTTATTATTGTTTTACATCGTATTGTCAATACCATTCTTTTTTTCTGTGTTGTAGGATTCCAACATTCTTAGTGAAGTCTTTTTATCACAGGTAGACTATGAAAGAAGGACACTGAAAGTCACTTTGCTAAGTAGTGAGTGGAGGTCATCAACTGATGGGAACTTTTCCACTATCGTCCGAGAGCTGGCCATCCAGTTAGCTAAATTCCCCAAACTGGATGTTTTTGTCCTTCTTCCAAAGTGCAACAGAGAAGACAGGAGCAGTGCTGAAAGTCACAATGTGAAGCTCATGGAAGCAGATGGAGTTCCTGGCGTAGAGCCAGTTCTTTGGCTGTCATCTCCTCCAAGAAACCATACAATGGACTGCATTGTTGGTCATGGAGTTCACCTTGGCCGTGTAATTCCATTTATCAAGAGAAATCCATATTACAGTCATTGCAAATGGATTCAAGTTGTTCACTTTGCTCCTGAAGAAGATGGAAAGTTAAAAGGCATTTCAGAAAGTGAACAAATGCAAGAAGCAGAAATCCAACTCTGTAAAATGGCTGATCAAGTTATCACAATTGGACCCAGTCTAGCAGAAGCTTACAAGCATTACCTTCGTACAGTTAATCAAGAGGAAAATGTTTTTCATTTAACTCCAGGCATTTTCTCTGAATTTCTGGAAGTAGAGCAAGCCACTAAAGAAAGAAGAACATTCGATATTCTTGTAATTGGAAGTGGTAACAGCTTTGAAGATTTCAATGTCAAAGGGTACAACATAGCTGCCAAAGCAATTGCTGAGTTGAAAGATGAATCCTACAAACTCAAGTTTGTCCAGGGAACTGGAAGAAAAGGAGATGTTGAAGCAAAAAAGTTGCTCCACCATGGCATTAATTGTAATCAGTTAATTTTATGCAGCTTTGATGATAGCAGAAAAGTGCTGGCTGACTTATTCTGTGAAGTGGATCTTGCGATAATGCCATCCAGGACGGAAGATTTTGGAATAACAGCTCTGGAAGCGTTATCTGCTGGTCTGCCTGTACTTGTCAGTGGTAATTCAGGACTTGGAGAAGCTCTGAAGAAAGTGCCTTTGGGCTCACATAGTGTGGTACACTCTGAAGATCCTAAAGTCTGGGCCAAAAAAATTAAGGGTATCCGTCAGAAAAAGAGAGGAGTGCGACTTTCAGTGTCAAAATTTCTACGTGAAAAGTACTTGGAGAAGTACAACTGGGAGGAGTCTTGTAAGAGGCTTGTGAGAAAGATGGAGAACCTTGTCTTTGGTAAATTTACTTAAATTTAAATGTTACAGCCTTAACTTGTCTAATAACGGATAAACCAAGCATACTGGTAAAAAGTTGAATCAGCCTTGAGTCAACTTGGACCTATCACTACCATAATTTTTTTATGGACCTGAATCAAACAAATAGTTAAACATAGTAAATACTCCGCAAAGGCAAACTTAATTGTTATGTAATAATCTTACCCACAAGGTTAGAAACTAGTGTTGCAGAAATATGTACTTTGTAAGGTGCATTTGCACGGGAAATACTTTCTGTTTACTCAACACATAAAGCAGGTACTGTTGAAAGTTGAACAAGCATGGTCAACTTGGTTGGTGTCCTTTCTTAGATAAACTTAGATTAAAAAAAAAAAGAAAAAGAAAAGCGAAGGATAAGTATAACAGAGTCAGAATTTCCTGCCAAGTGTTTTGTGTGAATGATGCCTAAAACAGGCAAATCTTCTTGTAGGGTAGTTTGGTATTATCAACTGAGTTGATAATGGAAAATGGCCTCTGTAGAGAGTCTTAAAAATGATGTTTCGAGCATCAGCCCTTTGTGAGAGCGGGGGCTAACACTCAAATTTCAGCTTCAAAACTTGTATTGTACCTTACTCAGTATACCTGTTGTCACACTATCATTTTGCAACAAATTCTTACAAAATATCTTAAGCTCTGAAAACTATTGTTCCCTCTGCTCCCAAGTACTCAATCCTCAACCCATGTAATAATAATAATAATAATAATAATAATGTTATCCAGGGAGCTCACATCACCAAAGGTGTTATTCAGTGAGGCCCTGCCAAAAAAAAAAGAAAAATGTTAAATTTGAAAGGTTAAAAATAGTTAAAAATACGATATTAAAATGTTCAAGAAAATTACATTATAAAATGAGTTAAAAAATTGCGGTCTTCAAGGCTTGCTTAAAAATTAAAAGTGACCTCATGGAGTTTTTTTCTGTTTTCCTCTTAAGCCATATGCCATGATTTTGTCAGCAACCTGTCATGTACATGTAAAATAATATAGAAATGATCATTAAGTTGCTTTTCTTTTAGGTGGGAGTGAACAAGTCATCTGTAATCTTCAACAGTGGCAACAGAATGTTAGTAGATGGAAGATCAGCAGCAATGCAGACCCACTCTCAGACTTAAAGAAGATTGCTTCAGAAAAGGGCTATAGAATTCTTGCCAATCTACAGACAAGAAATTGTATGTTCTATGCCTTGTCAGAGCAACTGGAGATTGTCAAAGGAGTAAAGATCCATCATTTTGAATTAAGGCATTCCTTAGTTCAGTATCTAAGAGAGCATCCAAAACTGGTGAGTATTTGGTAAAGTACTTGTAATGTTTATGGCAGATACTACAAATGCACCTTCTGTTCCACATTCAAGTTAGATTTTAGGAATTATTATTAGAACATTTTCATGGCTTTGATCAGGAAAAAAATCAGTGTGTGTAATACACAAAGTTGAGGTTGACATGATTAAACACAGGCATGCGTAGCATACAAGAGTTACTTTTTCAGCTGGGTAGGTTGAAATGAGACACTGCGTTCCTGATGTTTTCATGACTTTTATTCATAGTAAAAGTCAAATGCGAGAGAATGCGTGGAAATTTCACTATCAGTAGCATAAAGTTTCATGTGGATTTTTCACAGTGGCATTGGATAATGTGGTTAGAATATGTGATAAAATGCAGATTATTTACATGGAAATGGCATATGATGGAGCAAAGTCTAATGTCGCAAAATGGAATTTGATTAGTAGAATACAATTCAATCATGTGAAAAATTGCCTTTGCCTAATGTTCTTGAAGTCCAATGATTGGTTATGCTCTGATTGGACTTTGGACATTGTTTCTACAGAACGCGATGGAATGTAAGTTGTTTGGCATGTGCATTGTGAGAAGAGGAGTAGAAAGAACTTGTTTCAACTTTAAAATTATGCATTAAAAATAGATGCAAACCTTTCATGTCTCTATATTATCTCTATAAATCTTGATCTCAGTTGATGAAGCTGTAATGAAGACCACAATCATAACACTTATTGAATGAGCCCAAAATTTCTAGTTAATGTCATTCTTCGTGCACAGCCCCCCTGATTCCATGACATTATTTACAAGTAAACAATACCCAAATGCTGTAATTGGTGCATGATATCTAAATGCTTGGTGCATGTTACATATTCTAATGTGGCAATCTGATTGGTGCAAGATACATACCCTGATGCAGCAATCTGGTTGGTGTGAGATACATACCCTAATGCAGCAATCTGATAGGTGTGAGATATCTACCCTAATGTGGCGATTTGATTGGTATGAGCAGCATACTACTCTACACGCTAACATAGAGTTATTTTTTCTCTAAAAATCATCACTCAAAAAGGACAACTTATCTTTGTATCACTACAATGTCTTTCTTGTTTTTGCTATGTTATTTTAGATCAACTGGGGGAAGTATAATGCTGATGAACCTGTTCGTAATCATTCATTTAAATTGATCCGTTTTTGCTATTATTTTAAAGATTAGATATGTTAGTTGTAAAAGTTACTCCATCTGACACAGACATGAACTACTATCAAGGACTATTGAGCCTAGCTACTAAAGAGTCTTGAATCTGTCTTTGGATACCTTTGAAGTTAATATTTATTATGTGAAAATATTACCATACTAAGTCATCACTAGTTGCTCTATCACTATAAATATTACATGTTATCTTGTTGGATTTTCTCTTAAAGGTAGATGGAACAGATCTGTTTCACTTTGTTGATGGACACGCTACATGGCGTGGTTACCTAACAGATATGGAACAATATGGCACTTTGGGTGATCATTTGATTCTCTGGGCTGCAGCAAACTGTTATCATATAGCCATTCATGTGATTAGTAGTCTTCCAGGCCAAAGAGAGGTAATTATCACGCCAAGTTTTCCATTTGACCAAAGCAAGCATCTTGTACTGGGACATGTCCATGAAGGATACTATGTCAGCCTTCAGCCCTTGCAAGGTAAAGCTCAGAACATAACACATTTAAAAATTGGCCTATCCTTGAATTTTGCAAACAGGATATTTTAAGTAGTGCGTTTTACAAGTGTATTTTACTCCTATACAGCTACAGGCTGTACATGTATATACAAATTACCATTTCATAAAGCTTGCAGAGCCAACTTTGTTGATTTATCTGTAATGTGATTAGACCTCTGTAATTTGTATATGTGCTGTTTGTTTTGTTTACCTACTTAAGGTCTTGTGATATTTACTCTTGAATGTACTTTAGAAACCTGTTCTACTGCTTTCAAGTTTATTAGATACACCAGAATTAATATAGGTAATAACATGATTTCAAGTGCAATTTGATGTAAATAAGCACAAATAAAATTTTCAAAGACAATAAAAATTGCATTAGCCCATTACATGTTTAAAGTGAAATAAATGTTGTGAGGGTAAGACGTCCTCAAATGTGCCAGAGGCCTAGAAAGCAGCAGAAAGAAGACAGGATAGGTGGGGGACCCTATGTCAGTTAAGATTATGCAATGTTGAGGAGTGGGAGTAAAGGGTTCCATTTCTTTGAAATTGTACCAAGCTTGTTGGATTCTATTTGGAACTGAGATTTAAGTAGCACAGGGATGCTCGTTAAGGCAGCTCCATAGGGTTTTTGCTCAATGTTGGCACATCTGCCAGTGTACTGTTTTTTGAGAAAATTTGTATGATTTCACTTTTCACAGTTACTAAAAGCCATCAAATGGTGACGAGCAAGGTTTGGATTATTGTTTGCTGTAGTAAATATTATCAAAATGATTTTTGTCACTAAGCTAAGGCGTCATGAAGGGAGGCACTCACCAGTGATAATTTGGCTTTGCCTTTGATTTTCTCCAATTTGCTTTGGTGAAATCTCTCAAAATTTTCACACTTTGTGAAATTTGTCCTACTGATCATTTAAAAGCCAAAAAAAAAAAATAGGGACTATGAAGGCAGTTTCCTCACTATTTGCAATTTTTTGTTTTCTTCCTCTATCTCAAATTTGGTCTTATGAATTTGTTTTTATCAATGGGCTCAAGGAAGGGCACAGATATGTTTAATGGTTCGGCAACTCCTAGAAAATTCCACTAAAGGAAACTATTTTGTAATTGAATAGAACTTGGCCAAGATCTATATCGAAGCATTCGTAAACTTTTGAATCTTTCCCATAGTGCTTCTTTTAGGTTGACCTCTTTTTCAGGCCTAGAAGGCCTATGAATATTATGGGTGCAGTTGCCAGAAATCCTAGACTCCATCACATAAAAACTGTATTGTGTTTAACCGTTTTAAAACATCTTTTCAGGTAACAATCATGCAATCATATTGAGCTGCTATGTTTGTCTTACATGTTGACACTTTAAAAGCTTGTGTTATGTTTGCACCCAGATCCTGTGCTGACAAAAAGTCCCATTGAGCCTCCTTAAAAGAGGAATCCTATTATTTGCCTTGCAACTCCATATGTAGTGTCCCACTTAAAGAAAGAAAACAAAAAGAAAAGTTAAATTGAAGTGAGAACCTTGGTAGGGAGTGAGTTGGGGTCATTGAAATAGCAAAGGCTTATTTACTGGATGCCCCCCCTTCCCCCTTCCCTCCAAAAAAAATACAATAACAAAACATAAATAAGTGTTTATCATTAAAATAGGTGAAAAGTATTTTTCCATATTAAAAAATATGTAATCAATTAGAGTTGAACAAAGTCTAGAGATGTTATTGAGAAGGCCAATGGAATCTAATGATGAATATGACTTTAAGAAATTTTGCAGAACAGTATTTAGAAAATGCATTGTATTTTTTTGCAATTATTGCTGAAGTGCTGATAAAAAGTTAATAAAAGAAGATCAAGGATTTACAAATAAACTAAATATTTTTAGGGAACCACATTTCACATGGAGTTTGTGAAGGCCAACAGACCTTTTAGTCGTTGGCTTTTGTTAAGTTTTTTTCAAACTGATTGTAACAATGTTCTGTAGCATACAAACTGACCAGAAGGAAACATCCCTAGTATATGAAGTATAATTGTTTGTCTCACAAGAACATTTTATGGGGTCAAGTTACAGGTAGATCTAAAAGCAGAGCAAAGTCAAAGCAATGCCCTGTTAAAAGGTCATCATCTGGTGTCCACAAGTTCACTGCCAAGAATCTTAAGGTAGAGCGAGTGACTTTGCCATCAACATCCACTAAGGAAACAACCCACTTTAAAGAGAGGCTTCAGCAAAGAGAGAGGGAATCTATGCTGATTGAACAAGATGGTAAGCTTAAGAATGAATACTTGTAAGTAAATTTTGTAATGAAGAAAAATGGAGTTTCAATGCCTTTTACTGAATACTGCTCATGTTAAACTTGAGTAAATTTAAGATTGTAGATATTTGATCCCTTTTTCTGGACTGGCTGAGACAAACTGTTCACAAGGGGAAAATAAAAACTGGAAAAGTTTCACTATGTTTGTATGCTTGTTTTATTAAAAAGATCTAGTTCCCATGGAGTTAGTGATGTCACCGTTGATAGATGTTAAGATGGAACCAGATACTGTGCAACACTTAGAAGGGATCGCAAGATTTTTCATTTTCAGGTTAGGATCACTATATGTAACTCATCAATTTCTTAAAGGTAAGGGGGCTCCTATCACAGGGCTGTTTGGAGAATTGATATTTATTAATCTGTGGATAGTAATGTGCAAATTTGGTATCAAAGTAAAACCAATTAACTCTGCACAAACATGATTGATTGAGAAGACTGGTAATGGTTTTACCCTCTAATACTGAGAGATGATGACCTCTTTCTGACGGGACTTAAAGCATTTTTAACTCTGTGTAGGGGACTGTGAGCTACCCTTCTCAAGAGAGCCACTATGAATTTCTACAGACTTCTACAGAAATGTATATCACCAGTTCATGTGGCTTTTGGGCGGGTGTGAATACATGGTTATTAGCGAGATTGATTGATTACAGTTATCTGGTGCATGGAAACTCAGTCAGAACCCAGGGCTAAGTCAAAGTTTCTTTTCTTTCCTTTTTTCCTTTTTTTTTTTTTTAAGTCATACATATACCAAACCTAAAGACTAAGGAAACGGGTGCTGCATCTGTGGAAGAGTATAACAGGGTAATTTGGTATTATAAACTGAGTTAATAACGTGAATTGGCTACCATAAAAAATTGCAAAGCTGAAGTTTCGTCATACGCTCTGACGAAAGTTAATGCTGCGGTTCGAAAGGTCAGCTTTGTGACTCTTTATGGTGGCCAATCTGATGATACCAAATTACCCTGACATAACTGTTATTGCCGACCTTATTTTCAGGGGTGAAGTTACTGAAAAAGGTAGTGTATGGAACCTACCAGAAGCAGCCGCCTACATCACATTCCATGAGGGAGCCGTGCCAAAACCTTTGTTATTTACATGTTCAGTATTGCCTCCTAAACTTCGCAGTCCACCCATCTCTAGTGATGAGCTTTTGGTAAGCAATGTGGTGGAAATGTCACATGATGGTCCACCAGACCTAGAGTTTAGAGGAGATGATGATGGTAACGTAACTGTAGCTTTGTTGCACAGTGCAAGTGATTTAAAGGGCTATGAAGTGGTTATCAAGCAATTGGTGGATCTACATAACAATGAATGGAAGGATTTGAAGACTTGGCATGCATCAGGTGCAGGTTACATGTCATTCATGGTGATTGTTAGTGAGCTTTTGGATAGTGTCGCAAAACCAAAGTCGAAGGACAAATTGTAATTATAACAGCCAATCAGAAGAAAGGAAATACTTTTACGAGCCAATGAAAACTCAAAGTAAAACCGAGCAAACTGCCTAAAATGTGGGAAAATGCAGGCGACTAAGTCTTGATTTTTTAATTTTTGCTTGTGATTGGTTGTGATTGGCGCGCGTTTTCTGGACCAATCCAAGTGCGAAGGAAAGCAAAAAGAAATCGATCCCGAATTACCTTTGACACTCAATTGAAAATTGCTCACGAGGATTATCTATTGTGAAGTCTGAAACCTGGGTGGGGGTATATAGTCCTGAAAAGAACTGATTTTGTTGAAAGTTTGCAACGTTTCGTTTACCTGAGCAGAAGGCATCGTCAGAGTCTGGTGTGGAGTTGTTTGTCAGTCGAATGTCGTATTTATGATCAAGATTGTCGGGTTCAGTGCAGTTTGATTCTACTAGTTTGTTGGTATGCTTCGTCCTTTATTGTATTGTTTTGTTGTGTTTTGTTTTCTTGATGGTTGTTCTCATCCTTCCGCTTTCTGAGACTTAGCTGACAACACCACGGCAAAACTGACCAATCGGTTTTCATGAATCAGACTTAGGAAAACATATCAAACTATGTTACTAAAAGTTAACGTTTATGTGTAGAAAAACCAGAAGTTTCTGAGTGGCCTCAGCTTGTTGAGGCTACATGCACCCTGACACAGTGTTCCTCGTTTGCTGCCATCTGGCGCCTAAAGTCCTTCACGTTCACAAGATGTACTTCAGCGGCTCCTCAATTTACATGTGTGGTACCAGACTTTCCAGACATACTTGTTGAAGTTCCTCTGAGTTCTGTACCTGTTGATCAGGACTTTACTTTGACAATTAAGGTATAGGAAAAACGTGCTAAATCGCTCTATTAACTCGAACCCCACACTAACTCGAACAAGATCTTTTTCCCCCTGGATTTGACCTCATTTTCCAGTCATTTATTATTAGGTAACTCAGACTCAGTGAACTTAAACTCCCCTTTAATTCAAACTAGTTTTACTTTACCTTGGCTCAATTTTATGCTGAGAACTCAAACTTAAAGTAAAAATGTTGGTCCCAACCTTTAGTCACCATTGATACGAACGTGATAACATTTATGAAAACATAATACATTAAGCTTAATTTCCCAAACTAAACGTTCTTGTAGAGAAGCACTTAATACAAACTTAATGTAAGAAAATGACTATCAATTGTGCGAGAATGGTAAAAACATGATTCCTTATTAATTATTAACAGGATAAATCAATCAAAATCAACAGATAACAAAAGTCAGATAACTTGAACCCCTGCCAGCTTGAACCAGTTTTTGTGTTTCCTTCGGGAGTTCAAGTTAGTGGGGCTCTATTGTATTATCTGACACTTAGTAGATTTCTTATGAAACTTGACTGTGGGGTACATTCAGTGACATAACACTCTTGATCCATTTGCATTCTTGTTTTTCTCTCATTTGATCAAACAGAAAATACTCAAAATCAAACTCAGTTTTCCAAAATTAAAATTAGATTTTTCTTTTGTCCTAATTCAGGGGCAAATGACTTTAAGTTGTGTTCATGTGTGCTTGTTAATGAATTAGCTACCCTTGCATCTCTGTTACTTTCACTCCTTAAAACATGCGTCTATATAAAACTTCCCACAGAAGTAACTTTTTAAAGGATGATCTTTGTTTACTCAAGGACAATCTGAAAATTTATCATCTATCCTGATCTATGAAAGTACATTGTTCATGTTCATCTTTATGTAATTCACTAAAAGTCAACTCCTATTCTGATTTTTCGTCTAAGGTACAAGAATTTCCAAGCAATGAGGTTGAAGACATTGGGATACTGTGTGGTTCTTTCATTCACATTTCAAGCTCTCGGAACATTGTACATGTGGAGCCTGTGACTATCAAGGTTCCCCTTGCCCTTCGTGAAAGTAAGCATGACTTCTCAGAGCTTTCAAATGAGGTCATACGGATATCATATCTCGACTCAGAGGGCAAACCATGGAACGCTAGCTGGACAGATATCACAGGTCAACTAGAAGGGCCAATTACTGTTAAAGATGGAATTGTAGAATTTAAAGTAAAACTTTTCTGTCGGTGAGTTATGTAAAATATGTATATGTAAAACTTAAGTTTAGTCAGAGAGCAAATAGCTTGTTCCAGGCGTTCAGTTTGTAAAACGAATCGCAATAATAAATAGTGTGAAAGAAGCAGAGGAGTGAAAAAACGAGGGAGGTTTGAGTAATAAACTATGTACTCTACTATATTTTGTTACTAATAGGACCAGTTGGTAGTAAGCCACACTCTCGTGCGGGAGGTGGAGGGTTCTAGCCAATGAACAGACCAACATTAAGCATCCTGAGAAACATCTTGGAAAGTGTGTGCTGCCTTTCTGATATCATCGAGAAATGATTAGACCAGATAGTCTTCTTTAATTAAGGCTATTAACCAGGGTTTTTCAATTTGAAAAAGCTGCTTACTGGTGGTCTACCACCGCTTAAAAGACCTCGTACTGCCGTCTGTCGAGCGTGCGGGCAGGCTCTCTCAATATTCTGTGAATGAAACGGCCTTCCCCATCTTCAAACACTCGGAATCATTTTTGAATACGATGTTGCAGTTTATTAATGTTTTTACTTTTTGTTTTGCAGATTCTGTGTCTGCGTGTTCAATAAGCACGTTCCTCTTTTGGAAGATTATTTTCGTCGTCTTTTTTCCAGAACCATGCCTCAAAGTGTACATTTTCTCACTTGTTTATGTAAGACAACAATTCCTGATACTTATGGCCTTTTACTGTACTGTTATCCAAACTTTAAACAACCTGAGGTGGAAAAGAAATTGTCAAGCTACGACATACCTTATAAAGGCAAAGGAAGGTCAAAAGAGCCTGTATGTGTTGGGGATGAAATTGTGGTTACCCCAATAGCGTTTGATTTTGTGAAGGAGTCTCAAAGGAATGAAAAGGTAGTTCTTAGGTAAGTTATTCAATTACCTTGAAAAGTTTCACTCTATAAAGTGTGGTAAGGCTAAGAGGCTTGACTAACCAAATTACCTCTTGACACTCTAACTCCCAAGATCCAATTGTTAATTCTCCCCTCTTGCTGCTACAGATTTCCTTGTAAATTTGGTGTTTGACTCAGAGAATTTGGTGTTTAACCAAGATTACAGCTTTTACCTGATAAGTTTGAGTATTCTCATTACCTGTGTGTTGGATAATATGTGGATATTATCAGGAGAAGTTACATGTTAATCACTTGTGGGAGTAAAGGGGTTTAAAGGAAAACAACAAACCTTGCAGGTTTTATACATTTTTATGAATCACTTTCATAGATCACATTAGACATTCTAATAGTTTGTTTCTTTATTTATTTATTCAATTATCTTGTTAGAAAGGTAGTTAGGTATATATTTAAACTTTGTGCAATGCGTAGAGTACTTGTAGGATAAATAAATGTATTGATTAGTTTTTGTACAAGTTACATCTGGATAGCAGGGTTGAAAGTTCCACATTCATCAGGTTGAACATGAGTGGGGAGGGGGGTTGTTGGGTGGTAGCCAGTATGAAGTAGAGAGGTAGAGATAAAATGAAACCCACGCAGTCTGGCAAGAAATATTTATTTGGTTTCCATTTTCCAGGTTTCTTGGAAATGATATATCTGACAACAGGGACAGGGCTTTGATTGTTCGCTTGGACGGTGAAAGTGTTGCAACAGTGAAGTTCTTCAAAGACAAAGAGCTTCAAAAACTTCTCTGTGAAGTGCCGATCTTGAAGACTCCAACAGCATCTGCGGTACAGATAGGATCGTTTAGTAAATGTTCCTTTAAGAGCAATATTCAATTGAGTGTCGAAAGTAATCCAAGATTGCACTGGTTTTACTTTGCTTTGCCCTGTTATTGGTCCAGAGAACTCGTGCCTCTCTCTTAATTAATCAGATGCAAAACTAAAAGAAATCATGTTTTAGTTTACCGTGCTTTAGGCAGATTGGTTGTTTTTTTCTTTGGCTTCACAGTGGCTTTTAAAGGTATCTTCCTTTCTTCCAATTGGCTGTTGTGATTACTTTGGTTTTGGTTTTATGACAATTAATTTTACAACACTTCAATCTTATTCACGACCTAAACCAATACTTATCAGTACAGTAGCTTACTTTGCATCTTAAATTATATAAGATGATTCATGGATTTTATCCAAGCATAAATGCTAGATTCTAAAAACTCAAGAATGACAGATTTCGGTCAGAATACTGGTTCTTTTAGTTTTTAATATCTTCACGCCGTAAATACTATTTGGCATCAAGCAGATGAGTAAAAGTGGATGTCTTGTGACATATTGCTGTTTTTTTTGTTAATCATGATTCCTTGTTATTATGTGGCAGGTTCCTGTAACAGTGGGTGTAGATCAAAGAGTGGTACTTGAGGAAAAACCTGCATGTGGTGAGTGGACCTTGAAAATCACTTCATCATAAAAGGAGAGTCCCAGTTAGAGGTGTATGTTAGGACCTTGTGACAAACAAAATTTCAAACATTTCCTATATTTAGTTGTACTTGTGAATGTGGAGACAACACTTATGATCACATTTTTGTAAGATTTCCTGTAAGAAAAAGCTTAATTATGCCTTACAGAGTTGTGAATGTATGTCATGATCATTTTTTTTATTACTAATGGGGCTAAAAGAAATTTTGAAGAGTTAACACTCAAGGCAATGTAATCTGACTGGCAATCCTTAACATAAATGAATGATCATCAGGGCCATGGAGGGGTCTCATTTATCAGCAATTTCACTGGTGTTGTGTCCGACCTCTGCCCAGTCAAAGATTTGTTAAATACTCTCTCGTGGTCAAAAATCAAACCAGTCTGAATTCATTCTGACCCAAAATTACTACTGTAACAGGTACCACATTGACTGGTCGACTGAAAGTTTAGTTTCTTTTGTACTTAGTGGGTCTGGACCCTAGTGATTCAGAGAGCTCAAGTTTAGAGACAGATGACTTAGTTTCCATATCTGATTGGAGCTCAGACACAGCCAGGGATACAGAGGAGGAAAGCTTTGGTTTTATAAAGGAGAAACCTATTCCAGCCAAACAAAAAGGTAGAGCTGTGTATATTTACATGTATATAGTGTACATGTTACAAACAAACAGACAGTTTGTTTGAGCATGCATCACAATCCAATCATTCTTTAACTACACTCAAGAGCATTATAAAAGCAACAAATTAGTACCAAATTATTTGGCTTTAATTTTTGAAATTTAGGAGAGTTTTGGTGTGAATTTCATTGTGGATTTCTGAGTGTAAAATGTCATTGAAATTAATACTGTATGCTTAAGTCAAATGGTTGTTGCTGCTGGCTAATTCTATTTTAGAGTGAGAGACCTCTATGTGATGAAAAAGAATTTATATTTTATATAAGTTGCCTCTCAAATTTCACGTGAATTTTTTGAACAACGTTTGTAATTCACTCCTAAGCATGAATCATTTGTTTATCAAGAGTGAGTTACAGTCTGTAATAGTTCCTAAGACCTGCAGATAAAAGCTTCACCATTTTGGAAATTTAGCCTGAAGATAAAAAGGGAACAAACTGGTGTAAGGCTGAGTCCATGTTTGTGCTACATGTACACATAGCATCCTGTTCTCTTACACCAAGACCTACCGGTATGTCAAAGATATGTTCTTAGAGTTCTGATATATGCTCTCAAAGGCTTTCAAGAAGCATGTTTTACGTTAGTTGTACAATGACATAAGTTACTTGCCTCTCCTATGGTACCAGGGCTCCATGAGGACATTGCCGTGTTTTTGTGGCTAGTTTATGCATTATGCTAATTTCCAGATTTTATTTCAGAATTGAGTTCCAATATAACTGTAAAGCACTTTGATTGGTTCATTTTGCATTTGCACAGTTAGATGCTTATTAACAAGAATGGAGTTGAGAGTGCCTCTCTTAGTAATAATCTGTTATACTAACCTTGCAGTCTCTTTTGTGACAAAGTTAACCTTAGCTTTTACCCTCAAACAACTGTGAAATGGACTATTCTCAAACACAATGAGCCTTACAAGATCATCAGTTAGTTATACCAATCTAGTTTTATTTTTTAAGTATGTGAGACATTGTAAGCACTGAATTCTTGTGTGAACCTTATCTATTCAAGTTTCCAAGAACACCACCACCAAAAAGCAGACTGCTAAAGCTTCCAATACAGCAAATGAAAAGGACAAAATTGGAAAAGTAACAATTTTTGATACAATCCTTTATGGCTTGTCCCAGGCTCAGGTGGTTAGCGGAGACAAAAAGAGAGCACTGAAGGCTGTTGTTTGCATGCTTACTTTCTCCATGCATTGACCAAGAGCCTGGAAAAGGCTAGTTCCTTTTTAAACTCGTGAATTGCACGCATGCGCAAGAGCGAGTTGTTGATACGATGTGGGGAATAGCACTCGCTCGCTCGATTGGTCGATTCCTGTAAACTTTTTTTCAATTTTAGGCTTTTGAGTGCATTTGATAGTTTTTGGCGAGCAACAAACAATAGAAATGGCGACCTTTGTTGCTACGAATAGTGATGGGGTGACAAAGAAGCCAATGATAATCTTAAAATAATTTTTTTTTTTTCGTTTTAGTTTCAACAAGCGGCGCCAGCGACTGGCAGGCATGCAAGGATTCACACTGAAATAACAGAACAACCTTCGTTTTTCATAAAATTGTAATTAACCATCCTTGAACTTGAAAACAATCCGAAGATTCATTGAAAATATCGCTTACTGCGAAGCGCTCGGAGTTTACAGATGTTCAAAAGCTTTTTCTGTTACGGCGTGAGATTGAGGACAAAATTGATCATTACGTTTCGTATCGTGTTTTTCCTGTGTGAAACAAAAAAAGATGCGGCGACTAACGAAATTACAAGTTAACACGAAAATCAAATAACACCCAAACAAACAATTTTAGCTACCGATTTTCAGTGAATTTTTAAAGAACAATTTTCATTTAAGTTTCAAGACAATAGGGGTCACGTGATGACGCCAAGCTGAACGGACGCGGCTCCGAGCTCTCTCTCTGAAACTTTCAAAATTTTGATCCTTAATAGGTTACTATGACCGCGTTATAATCTTTTGAGTTTATTAATTGGTGACAAGCGAATGTCTGCTAGACGAACAAGGTCGAAAGCAAAGCAACGAACCGAAATGCCCGACACTGAAGCGAAGCTAGACGCAGTACTTGCGAAGATGGACGAATTGCTCGCCGCTAAAGATGAACAAGAGTCGAAGTTGAACGCCATCCTGATGAAGCTAGAAAGTTTGGAAAAAAGTCAAAAGAAAACCGCTCAGGATGTCGACGAATTGAAAGATAGTTATAAACTTTTAGACCACGATGTGACCGAGGTTAAAAGCGCTCTTGCAGAGAAGGCAAACCGCAAAGAGATAGACGCCCTGAACAAGAAAATTGAAGACTTGGAGAACAGGTCCAAGAGGAACAACGTGATCATATGGGGTTTAAAGGAAGGCGCCGAAAAAGATTGCAGCTCCGTAGAAGAATTCTTAGAGGAAGAACTTTTCAGTAAGCACATGGGCCTCGATAATATTGAAGTCATGCGAGCGCACCGTACGAAGATCAACCAAGCGGCTGCGAGCGCTACCGCTCCGCAGTCAAGGCCTATCCATGTCTACTTACTTAGATATCCTGATAAAGGACGAATTTTAAAGGCTGCAGCAAACACTCTGAAAGATAACCCTTTCCGCGACAGTCAGATATTCATATCCGACGACGTGTCAAAATCAGTTCGAAGTGAAAGAGCCAAACTACGGAAAGATCATTTAAAGCAACTTAAAGAAAGAGAAGGAGTCCAGTTCGCGTTCATCCCATGGTCAGTTCCCGCGCAGATACTGTATAAAGAAATCGATTCTGAAGGTCTCAAATCCTTTAAAATCAGACATGAGTAATCCTTATGTTGCTGTTTTGTTGTCATTATATACTGCGTAATTGTATTTATAGCTAAATGAACTGTATGATTTATAGTTTTGTTTACAATTTCGGCGCAGGCAAAACTGCTTGTCACTTTTAATACCATAGTATAATACAACCATTTGCCATGGAGATCTCGGCGAAAGTGTGCAGCAACCGAGATGGTAAGTGCGCTTTCGGTTGTTTGTATATTTTGTGTGTTGTTGTTTTGTGTCTGTGTTGTACTTCTTGTTCAAAACTTAAATTATTCTCTTACTACTTTTACATTTGTTTTGCTATTCTATTCATTTTCCGAGCAAATAGCACCTATTATAAATGTGATAACACTTAATTATTCTTGCATTAAGAATGCATAATTCGAAAGCTAAGCCTGAAAGCATCAAATTTCTTTCCTTGAATGTTAGAGGCCTAAGCAACTTTCATAAACGTAGGGCAATTTTTTCCTGGTGTAGAAAGCAAAAAGCCGATTTAATATTTTTACAAGAAACTCATTCCACAGCAGAACGACAGGATCAGTGGCGAAAAGAGTGGGGCACTTCTATTTTATTTTCACACGGCAGTACAAATGCTAGAGGTGTTGCAATTCTCATAAAGAATAGTTTGAACATTATTATTCAACAAAGTGAAATAAGTTTGGATGGCAGGTTTATTGTTCTAAAAGCTGCTATTAACAATGAGATATACACAATTGCAAACATATATGGCCCAAACAAAGACGCCGATGCTGTCAAGTTTTATCGTAATTTATCAAAATTATTAAGAAATGACGAATTTGGTAATGAAGAAAACATTATTATAGGTGGAGATTTTAACTGTCCTCTCGACATCACACTTGACAAAAAAGGTGGTTTACCGATTCCTCGAAAATATGTAATCAACTCTATGGATGAATTGCAAAATGAATTCAGTCTGCACGACATTTGGCGCCTAAAAAACCCAACATTGCAAAGCTTTACCTGGGGGCGTTGTTCACCTTTTATATTTTGCCGACTAGATTACTTGCTAATATCCGATAAATTACATGATTTGGTAACTAAGGTCGATATCATACCCTCGATCAAAACAGACCATTCCGCTATTTTTTTAGAACTTGAAGAAATCGAATCAAGTGGAAGAGGAGCTGGCTTCTGGAAACTAAATACTTCTCTATTGGCAAATGAAAATTATAAACATATGATAACAAACAATTTACCGACCTGGCTGGATGCAGGTAAAGATATACATGATCCCAGACTTTTGTGGGATTGGATCAAGTTTAATATAAGGTCAAACTCCATCATATTCTCCAAACAAATAGCTTCCATTCGACGGAAACAAGAAGAGGAATTAAATAAACGTTATCAGGAGGCAGTCCTAATGTTTCACACAAATTCTTGTAACAATACGCGTCTGGCACTAGAAAAATCTAAGCAGGATCTTGAAGCACTGTACGAGGACAAAGTAGAAGGGATTATACTACGCGCAAGAGCTCGATGGCACGAACACGGTGAAAAGAATAGCAAATATTTTTTAAATCTCGAGAAACGCAACCATGTTAAAAAGCATGTAAGAAAGCTGCACATTAGCGGTGTAATTTCTACTGACCCCTTTATGATTATGGATTCACAACGCAAATTTTATAAGAACTTATATCGTAGTAGAAATATTAATCTAGATAATGCAGAATCATCGATTTTTTTCGATAGTCCAAATTTACCCAGTATTTCACATGATTCAAGAATAATATGTGAGGGTAGAATAACTGCGGAAGAATGCCAGAACGTTCTCAAAACGTTTCCAACTGCAAAAACGCCAGGCAACGACGGGTTACCCATTGAATTTTATAACACCTTTTGGCCATTACTTAGTGATACTTTGATTAATTCATTTAATGAAGCTTTTATGAAGAAGGAAATGTCCCCATCTCAGAGACAGGCAGTGATTACTCTTATTGAGAAACAGGACAAGGATAGGACTTACTTAGAAAATTGGAGGCCAATATCCTTGACTAACGTCGACGCCAAAATTGCGTCCAAAGTTATAGCGACCCGTATTGTCAAAGTTTTACCCGAAATCATTCATAGCAATCAAACTGGGTACGTTTCAGGTCGCTACATAGGGGAAGCCGCAAGATCAATTCTAGATATAATGGATTACACGAAAACTTATGAAATCCCTGGATTGCTACTTTTTATAGATTTTGAGAAAGCTTTTGATAGTCTGGAGTGGAATTTTATGTTCAAATGCTTAGAAGTCTTTGGATTTGGATCCAGTCTTACAAGATGGATAGAAACCTTTTACAGTAACATAACAAATTGTATTATCAACAATGGAACGCTCTCAGCTAGCTTTGAAATAAATCGAGGTGTAAGGCAGGGAGACCCCCTTTCTCCTTACTTGTTTATCATTGCTATGGAACTACTAGCAGTCGCTATTCGCTCATGTTCAGAAATAGATGGAATCAAAATAGATGAAAAAGAATTCAAAATGGTACAGTATGCAGATGATTTAACAGCTTTTGTGTCGGATATCAGATCTGCTCAATACCTTTTTAAGTTACTTGATCAATTCCAAAAATGTTCTGGCCTAAAGGTGAATTATACAAAAACCGAAGCAATGTGGATTGGCTCTTCCCGTAATAACATCGAAACACCTCTAGCATTGAAATGGCGTAAAACTGTAAAAGCTTTAGGGGTTCACTTTAGTTACAATAACGAAGAATCAGTGCAAAAGAATTTCTAAGATAAGCTCAAAGGAATTAAATCTCAGCTACGCTTGTGGAGTTGGAGAGGCCTCTCTCTGTTTGGTAAAGTTACAATTATTAAGAGTTTACTACTTCCTAAAGTTTTATACATCTCGTCAATTCTTCCTTCTCCTTTGGAGTTCATAAAGGCCCTTCAATCAATTATATATAATTTTCTTTGGAAGGGTCCTGATAAAATCGCCAGGACAGCAGTAATAAATGATGTTGAATTTGGTGGCCTAAAGGTAACTGATTTTACAACGTCAATTATGTCACTCCGACTTTCATGGATTGAAAGATTTCTAAGCGATAACTTTTATCCCTGGAAAGCGTATCTATTACATTTGCTAAAACCTTTTGGTGGAGAATTTTTTCTTCATTGTGATTATAATATTAATGACTATAACATTTCCCCAATATTTTATAAGGAGATGTTACACTGGTGGTCAGATTTTCGTTCTAGATTTGATCTTGTAAGTCTACGTGAAACAATCATCTGGAACAATCATAACATTAGAGTAAACGGCAAACCTTTATTCTATTATAATTATAATAGCGCAAATATTATTCTTTTAAGCGACTTAAAATTGATTTGAGTAATACAGAGTCCTTTAACCTTGCAAAACGTAATGGTTTAAAAGATTCCAACTTTCTGACCTGGACTGGT